AAATATCAATCAAGAAAATGCCTAGCCTTATTAAGTAATACCATTTGTGCGACCACGTTTAGTCGATGATTCGCCCTTAGACCAGAAATAATTATCCTATTTATTAATAATGATGTTTTTAAACAATGGATACAATTCGATATTTCATAAGTGAAATAAACTTACGGTTTGTGTATCATCTATTTTTCTTTTTTGACCTTTTGTGTTAAAGGGACATTCAGTCATGTCTTTTGGATAACTCAAAGGCGAAGATTTTGGCATATGAATTAATGGTACGAGATTGAAACCGTAATACCACTAATTATAATTATAATAAAATATATATAACAATTATAATTAACAATAATTCAAATAGCATTAATAACTGTGAAGTTAAAGATCAAACATACTTTTTCCTTTTCTGAGTTACCAACTTCAGCCAGCCCTACAAACCAAGTAGGAATTCCCATCTTTAATTGTGTATCGTCATTTTCGCTCGTTGATGGAGTGTTCTGATAAGGTTCTCTTTTGAAGAAAACTTTCTCAGAAGCACCAAAATGATACCTCGGCTTGACTTTTTCCACTAATTGCGCCACGTATGTTGACCCCGATACATTAGTAACCTCCTGCGAAGATAAACGGGTGATATCCTTGGGCCATTCATATGTGAGAAGTATATCTACATCAGAAGGGGGATTATTTATAGTAGAATCTAAGATACCACTCGCAAAGGCGATTTTTACGCCATGCGTTGTGGTCATGCTACCTTGATTACCTATAAAATTAATTTAGAAAATTTACTTGAACAATCGTTGGTAATAAGCAATTACATAAATTAATAATTTTCTCACCAAGATAGAAAAGGTTCTGACACAACTCCCCATTATTGTTTTCGACACGTTCTTTTACGATATTCGGCAACTCATGTTTACCATGCATAAAATATGTTGTTATTGGAACTATGAAATTTGTTTGCTTATTAGTACTTCTAGTCCATGAAACCAAGTAACGCATAAGCATGTATGCATACCTTTTATTTCCTCTGATAACAAACGGTTTATTTCGTCCGCATTTTCACCAAACAGATCGCCAACGCATAATAATACGTCAAAAGGACCCCATTTGTTATTGAACTTTGTAACTCCAGAAAAGAGTTCAACAAGTTTTCCGTTGGCTGAGCCAGTGGTAAGACTTTTACAAGGGAATAAACAATAGTAATAAGTTATTTAACATAAAACACATTGAGACAAGACGCGATCAAAACTTACACTTTAATGCTAGTCATTTACGACACGTGAAACTTTATCCGCGAGACAGCCGAACAGAAACAAAATTAAGGCGAGTTTTTAAGGTGGGAATCTACGTTTAAGTAGGAGATCTCGTGATTCACATTCAGCAAATCATGTGATTTTCACCAATCACCGGTGTTACTGCAGGCAATCAAGTTTAGAAATATGCCATGATAGTCATGCCACTATTGGGCATGTCAAAATATTTTTTTGCCATGTTAGGTTCCTTAATCAAGACAAAGCACTAAAAAACAAAGTGATAACAGCCAATCAGTGAGTGATTATTGTGAAAAAAAAAGAAAATAATTTTACCATTACGCACTAATTAAAATAACAGGAATGAGCTTTATACTGTATGTAGGACGCCCCTAGCTCTCCCACAAAAATTGTTCACCCCCTGTAATTTTGACCAATCGAACCTCAGAATCAGGTGCAACGTAAAAATCGAAACGAACCCATTTTTTTACAATAAACACTAAATTTTAATTAGGGAACTACCTTCTGTGGCCTAATTAAAAATGTTCCTCGTGATGTTTTACTAATGGGCGTTATATCGTTCTAATTCTAACCCAAATTATAACACAGTTTTCTTGGTTTTCATTTTACGCGTAACTTTTTTTACTTAGAAAACAAAACACGTTTGTTTTGACCCTGATCTTAAATTTTGATTGGTCAAAATTACTGGGGATGAACAATTTTTTGTGGGATAATTTCTCATTTATCGCGTAATTATATTAATAAGCTTATACTATATCGATATGGGATCTTTGCTAGGAAAATGACCCTCCGAGGCTATGTTAATTTTGGTTCTACCAAAAAATCCCGACATCCAAAATCTCGAAAACCATAATCCCGACGTGACGATTAATATTTGAAGATTAGTAATCACATTAACAATCATTGTGGCAGATTAAAATGAAATGAGGGATAGTGTAAAATAGACAAGCCACTGAAAAATACAAATTTTTGGGGTGCATTTTTTTTAGCATTTTTTTTAGGGCGAATCATCGACTAAACGTGGTCGCACAAATGGTATTACTTAATAAGGCTAGGCATTTTCTTGATTGATATTT